GGGGCTCTGCTGAGCCTTTCAGAGCAGAAGACGTTGCGTACAAAAGTGCCTGAGAAGCAGCCAACGTGAACAACAACGGCTGGCACCAGGAAAGGGTCACAGATGCTTGTCTGAACATGCTGTTGTGCAGCATCTCCACGCAGCGCAGGCTCCAGCTGCTGCTGTACTAAAGACACGACCGCCATCTGCTGTCACGAGCCCGACCTGAGCCAGGGAGCGCGATTAAGGAGCAGGAGTCCCGCAGGAGGCCTCACCTCCCCCTGCCCCCCCGCCACTCCCATGGCTAGCGCCTTAATTTCTCAACGGCACCTTCGTCATTTCTAGCGTTGCTCTCAATTCTTGTCGCTTATTTATTTCTTTGCTCCCAGGTAGAAAGAACAAACTCCTGTTGCCGGTGATAGACGCTGGCGTGCGGATGAGCAGCCGGCTGTGACACTGCCTTCTGGGGATGCCACCCGCCGTGTGAGATGGGGACGGAGAGGGACTCCTAGTCAAAGTAACGATACAGCCGGCACGTACGCATCTATCTCTGTATGTACGTGTGTGCACTCACAGCTGCTCAGCAGTGCAAACTATTGCTTTCTATGCACCTGAAATACCATTTCTCAGCGTTTATATTCCATGCAAATACTTGGTCTCTTAGTTGGAAGCTCGGAGGAAATGCAGACAGGGGGGTTGGTTCAGAGTAGTTTCTAGGGCAGAGAGCTTGCCAGCACTGAATGATGGATCTGCTGGAAACGGCTCGCCGAATTGGGGCAGTTGGCTCTCAGTCCAGGTTTTCTTATCCAGGTTGCTCTCCACAGAGGCTCGTGTTTCTCCAGCAACCCAAATCAGTCTAATCCCGTCATGGAGGAAAGCCCTTATTGCTTATTGCCAGTCCATCTTACATGTGTTGTTTAATTTTTATAATATCTGGGCACTATGGCTGCTGTTCAATGTTTAAATGCTGCTTTTTCACATTTACTGTGATGGTGGTTTTTTTCATTGCCTTCTTTTCAGCAACTTTGGAAAGGAGGTTATTCTTATAAAACAATCCTTTCTTTGCATCTTATTTTCATAATTCTTATTAATATATTGCTTGCTTAAATAGTTCGACCTACTGTCTATATATCCTTGTACCACATATTATGGGGGGGGTATCTATTTCCCATATACTTATCTCTTTGGATTTTTGACATGTTTAAGCAACAGGCACTTTCAAGATACTTTAGCTAACTAAACTATTGACTAAGCTAAACAGCTAAATTAAATATAAGTATTTTCTTTTTTTCCGTTCTTAATCTTCTTTCTTCTCTGGTTAAGAGAACACTTTGCAAATGCAGCTATTCCACCAGCTGGTGTTATTCAGTATCATTATCCTCACTTTCTGGCGGACTTACTTTTTGTTCATGTTGTGGTTTTTTCTCATGACGATGTTCGTATTTTCATCACCTGATAGGTGATCCACAGGGCCCAGTTCTTCATCCTTGTAATACAGTTCACCCATTGACTTTAGGGTGCACTGAATACTCACAAGCAGTCACAGAGTGCTACATGGCCAACTGCTTGGTGGGGTGCAAATGTATTTGTTTGCCCTTAACTCTGGACCAGAAAGTTTCATAGCCTTTGTTTAAAGCATGAAGCTGAAAATTGTCCTGAAAAATCCAAGGCAGTTATTTGAAATCACTTTTAAAGACTAGGGAAGTTTATTTCTTAGCATCTTAAGTTTGTTTCTGTCCCCAGTGTACAGCAATGTAAAAGTGGTATTTTGTGATTGCTCTGGATTTGAAATATATGCATTTTAGATGACATAATTTTAGATCACGTACAGAGGAATTCACATTCTCTGAATTTAGTTTGTCTAGCTTGCATTCCTATGTTAGGAAGCTGTACCCCTTCGGTTACCAGCTGAGCCATTAAACAATGAGCTGCTTGAGTTAAACCTCTCCCTCCGTTGACACATTTAAGTACCTAGAAAAATTAGTATCAGTGAGACTACTTTGTCTAGAATAAATCATGTCAAACAAGCTCATTTCCAGCTCTGATTAGGTAACTGCTCCTGTGTATAGCAGAAAAGCCACAGATGCCAGATATCTTGGTTTTAGAAAGACTTCTAGCACTGTCTCACATGACTATCTGTCTCAAGCAAGTCACAGAAAACCACGAATGGATGAGTACACAACCGGGTGTAAACTGGACCCAGAGAATATTTAGCAAGAGTACGTTGTTAACTTGGCTGGATGCATCAAACAGAATTCTGCAGGAGCATCTCCATAGCACCAATCTGATATTTTCATTAAATAATTTGGATGGCAGAACAGACAACTTGCTTACCAAACTCCCTGGCTGGGAGGGGCAGGAAGTGTTGGAGGATAGGGCTAGGATCTCAATGAACTCGGCAAATTACAGTCAGGGGAAAGAAAGCGATTCAAAGGACATGCTTTCACTCTGCAGCATTACCAACATCACAAATGCAGGTTGCGGAATTACTGGGCTGATAGCATCACTGTATAAACAGACTTGGTGGTTAGTACGGATCACAAACCAAACAGGAGTCAGCCACGCCACTACAAAAAAGGCAAATAGCACTGGGGGCTATATAAAAAGGAATCTTGTTTGACAGGCAAATGAAGCTATTCTTCTGCTATGCTTGGGGCTAGTAAACCTTCAGCTGGAGTATTGTATTCTGCTTTGGCTAGAATAGAGAATTAGAGGTTTTATGAGGAAACATTGGAGGAATTGGAGTGGTTTGTCCTAGAGAAATGGGAGACCCGGGGGGGTGGGGGTGGTGCTGAATATGTGCACTGTGTTTCTAAGGGAGAGGGCAATAAACTTATCTCATCTGCTGAAAAGGCTCAGTGGGCAACAGAGATGTTAGAAATAGCTTTCTCATGGTGCAAATAAAAAAAAACAGCAAGAGAGATTACTATGGGGTATGACAGCCTTGGTTTTCGAGTTTTCAGGCGCAGATTGGACACATATCTATCAGAAATTACCTAAATATAATTGATCCTGCTTTTTGGGCGGGAGGAAGGAGACAATTCCCATCCCTGTTTTTCTAATATCCCAGTTTGGAGCCAAAGGTCATAATTTAGACACCTAAGTTAGATGTCTAAATTATACATTGTCAATACCAGCTAATTATCATCCTGAGACTCTTGCTTTCCATTTCTGTTTAATATATCATTAGGAAAAAAATATTGGTTAATAATTCAAATCAGAAGCAGCTATAAAGTAGTCTGGTACCACGCTATGCAAACTTGATTTGTTCAAACCTGTGTTTTCCAAGTCCTAGGCTTCTTTTGAGCACATACTGCCAGCCCTGCTAATGTCTAAACAGCTTATGATCTAGAGACCTGTCTGTTGGATGTTAGGATGATCCAGTTCATTAATAAAGGCCATATTGGAACACCCATTTAACTTACTGCAGAAAGGATGCTGGATGAAAAGGGGAAAGGAAAACTCACACAAATATGACTCATTCAGAAAATGCTAAAACTCGGGCTCTGAACAGCCTTTGATATTTGACCTCTGCAGATGGCCTGTAATTAAGACTCTAATCCTTTGAACACTCAAACACACTTAACTTAAAGTTAATAGGATTAGTCACATGCCTGAAGTGTGCATGGCTGGAGCAAAAATCTGTTGTTGAGTACAGCTGATTAAAAACTTGCAACGAAGACACTTTCTGGTGGAATATCGTCTTATATTTTTTAAGTCTTTTCTAAACAGTTCTAGTCCCAAGTAATTTCCTAATGTGAAGATATTTAATAAAAATAAAACTTAACCAAGTTCTTGCTTAATGTGCTGGTTTTGGCTGGGATAATTTTCTCTATAGTAGCTACTATGGGGCTGGTTTGGATTTGTGCTGGAAACAGTGTTGATAACACAGGGATGTTTTAGTTACTGCTGACCAGTGCTGACACAGAGTCAAGGCCTTTCCTGCTTCGGACACCACCCCACCAGTGAGTAGGCTGGGGGTGCAGAAGTAGTTGGGAGGGGACACAGCTGGGACAGCTGACCCCAACTGACCAAAGGGGTATTCCACACCATATGACGTCATGCTCAGCATATAAAGCTGGGGGAAGAAGAAGGAAGGGGGGGACGTTTGGAGTGATGGCATTTTGTCTTCCCAAGTTACCGTTACGTGTGAGGGAGCCCTGCTTTCCTGGAGATGGCTGAACACCTGCCTGCCGATGGGAAGGACTGAATGAATCCCTTGTTTTGCTTTGCTTGCGTGGGCAGCTTTTACTTTACCTATTTAACTGTTTTTATCTCAACCCACAAGTTTTCTCACTTTTACCCTTCTGATTCTCTCCCCCATCCCACTGGGGGGGAGCGAGCGAGCGGCTGCGTGGTGCTTAGTTGCCAGCTGGGGTTAAACCACAACACTTAAAAAGGTGTACACAAAAAGAATAAATCGATCTGAACTTTTTCAGAGGCAGAAATTACAGGTTCTTGGGAGATTTGAGAGGAGTTATTTTGTTTTTCTGGAAGATGTAGGTTTAAATTCACTGCCTTTTACAATTCTTTCAAAGCAAGTTTGAGATTAAACATCCACAGAATCAGACAGATCAGAGAGTTACAAAAAGAGGAAGAAACATTTTCTATCTTGGTTTTTATTTAACAGAAATACCAGTTTGGCTTAAAGACACAAAAGTTGTCTCTTCTCTTATCGCTGACAGACTAGCTGTACTTGGGAATCCTGGCAAGCTTAGTCTGGATCAGTTCATCACATTGTAAATGTATGAAAAGATTACGAAGAGTGAACACAATTTGGGAAGTGATTTAAGATCAAGGAAGACAGAGCTGTAGGCATACACGTCACAGAGGTTCCCATTTGTTGTCGCACATCTGCCAGAAAAAGAGACTGGACCACATGAAGGCATTGTGCTGACGTGTAACATATGCTAGATCTGGGTTTAAGTGCCATGGGTGCAATCTGGGAATCCTGACACAGCTCGGCATCGTTTGCTACTGCCCTACAAAATGCCCGCAGCATACATTTACAGTGCTATTACTTCTCCCATTGGCCCTAACGCAGACATAAGTCACCTCTGCTGAAGGACGTGATATCACAGTATTGTCATATACAGGAAAAGGTAACGACTGTGGTTAAAGGTTTCCAAAAAGCGGCATGCAACAAACAGCTGCAATGCCATCCCCTGGCCTGGTTGGAACACCTCTTTTAGATGCAGGGAGAGATTTTCTCCACTCATCTTCAGGATTGCAGTCAGCAGAATAAAGATTGCATTTAGCCAAGTATTCCTGCCAACTCTAACACGGACCAAAGTAAGCAAACATAAAAGCCAAAGAGCAACAATCATCGCTCTGTCAATACTGTTGTTGTTATACAGGAATCTGAGTCATACTAAAAGGTGTCTCAAGGAAGGGAGCAGTGGAGATACAAGAAATTCAAGACAGAGCAGGGAAATTCTGATTAAAGAAGCACCACAGCAGCGATGGGGTGGCAGATAAGACTACCAGAAAATGGCATCATATCCTTCTTGACAGTACCACAGGGGCTAACAGAATGCCAACAATGAGAGAAAAATTGGTGAACCACTCACTGCCTGTGAAGAGAGACTGACTAGGAAGTCTTAAAATAAAAAAATTCTTAAACTGAAAATTTAAAAAAAGTAATAATATAAAGAGGGCAGAAACCAGAAGAGGTGATCTAGGTCTGAGTCAGAAGTAAAAAGTCAGTGCAATGTCTTATGGAGATGAGAATTAAAAGAGAAAGCGAGAGAAAGATTAAGTTCTTACAGGACAAGGGGTTAAATCGGGACTGTGGCCCAAGAAAAAGCAGTGGGAGATCGGGAGGAGAGTCTACTCTGCACAGAGCCATGCAGAGATACCAGAGCAAGCATTATAGAAACAACTTCAGATCTCCTGTAGTTCAAGAACTACAAAAGCCCTGCAAGTTAACCGGTGCAGTGCCTCACTCAAATTGTCCTGTTCCTCCCCTCAATTAGGGCCACACTGGGCGTCTTTACACCAGGCTGCAACGTGGCTTATAGCTACACCCAGAAAGGAATTTCAGACATGGAAAAAATAAAGTGAGGGCAGTGAAGGGGCAAAGGGAGATGAAAAGGCAGGAACCTGGAGGAACTGGAAGCGAAGAGTCGTCAAGTAATATCAATGTTGAAGAAGAATTTATGTTAAGGATAAAACGAAGTGAAAAAATCTTCCTTTCAGTGCCCAGGTTTCTATGAGAAGCAGTGTGGAGCAGAGGAATTTTTGTCAGATGGATCTCGGGTAACAGCAATAGGAAAAGAGCTGACAACTGAAGCAAGGGAAGAGTCTTCAGTCAGCTGGTGTTCTTGCCCAATTTTCCGGGTTGTCAGAGACTTGGAAAAATATTTGAACACACACACACACACAGAGCGTTTTGTTTGGCCACTCCGAAGGTCAGCGTTGCTCCTGGGAGCCCTGTTTTATCAGGCGGTATTCACGCAGCCGGGAGCGCTCTGCTGCTGAAACCGTCACATCCCTAAGAGGCCAAGC